TTATTGGTTATCCAATCGGCACTGGATTTCTACCCATTCAGCACCTCGGATCTTTTTCTGCATTTCAGTCGGTCATTCACATTTCATACTCACTCTTCATTTTCTCTAGGTGAATAAGCCAGAGCCCGGAACTTATCTGGAAATGGCACTGCTATTTTCTGTGTGCAGGGTTTGAGCCAAAAAGAAACCTGGTATTGTATACGGCTGAATGAATTTTTCAACATTTTAACGAATAAAAGTTATAGGTAAAATTCTAGGAATGTAAGAGATTTTTAGGATTACATGGCTGTAGTAAATTATGACTACATGCCTAGAGCCTCTCAAAGATCTGCACGCATGAACACCTTCCTCATTTCAAAGCAAAACACAAGTCAGGTTGCTGCATAAGTCCCAAGATTTTCATGAAGCATGTCGGAAGTTTAAATTCTCCATTCAAATATGAGCCTTCGATATCGTCTTGATTTCACAATCGTTTCGCTCGCTAATGCGAATAACCGCATACCACTCCTCTGTCATCTGCTGTTCGTGCACAACCATGCGATTTTGATTCAAAACGAACACGTTTAGTGGTGCGTAAAAATCTGTGATGCCGTTTGGAATGCGTGAAATTGAGATTATTTACCGAATCGCATTGTGTGGCAGATTTGTCAGATTCCATTTTGCAATGAAATGCGCCGTTTCGCGCTTTTAGCGGTTTCGTCAACCCTTTAAATCGCTGAGTGCATCGCATGCCATCGTCCTTTTTCCTGTTTCACATAGTAACCAAGTCTAACAATAAGGAAAAAATTCGGTTCCAAGTTACTTGTGTATGTCATCGGTTTATTTGCATCAGTCACGGTATTATTCGACTCTGTACTAGAAATAGTTTATTTTCATTTGATTTGTTAAATTAATTTCATTTTTCACGGATTGAGCTGGTTATTGCAAATGCTAGAAATAGAGTTATGTTTAAATATAGCGATGAATTTATGTAAATGAGATTTCATTTTTTTCGCAGCCTGGGAACATCTGTGACGGTCGGTTGATTTTCAGTCGTTTAAATCAGTCAATCAGTTTGGATCATCCTCTTTGGATCAGCCAGCCACCTGGATTGTGCCCATTCATAAACTAATCTTAACAGTAATCTAAATTATGATGTATCCGAATCAACGATGGCCTTCCACTCAATTTCTATTCTATCCACCAAACATTCAAACCCCATTCATCGCCATCCCACCCACAATGGTTCCAGCCATAATCAGCTCCAACCGACGTTCAGTTCTCGACCGCAAAATGCGCCGTAAAGCTGAGACCCACAAAGTGAGCGTTTGGTTCAATTTATTTATTTTTTATTTCACCCTTATGGACTCACACATATTCATATGAAGTTTGTTTCATTCATGTTTAGTGGGTGATAATGAAGTTTGTTTCATTCATGTTCATTGATGTTTAGTGGGTGATAATGTACTGGTTATGTCTTAAAATTTTGAGTAAAATGGGTTAATGTGAATGTTTGGATTTGTAAAGACTCCCTAGATTTGCGTTTGGTTGAAAGCAGCCTCTCTAAGCGTTTCAATGATTCCGCTTTCAGACGATTCCGTGCCGCGCGTGGGCCGATACAGGACGCTGTAACTACGGAAACAGATGCAAGTTTGCTCATGGCGAAAAGGATCTCAGGAAGCCGCCACCAGAGCCTGTTGTGAGTTAACTGAAGTTGTTTCGGATTATTACATCAATAACTTTTTTATTATTATATTGTTGTCATCCATTTGTTGGGGACGAATCAATGTACAGTGATACATGAAGATTCTTTATGTTGAATCTTTTGGAGCGTTCTTGGAATTCTTTCGGCAATGAAACTCGGAATGAGGTCATTCAGTCGCAAAAGATGCTTACTTCAAGATTATAATCAAAATTAAATTTGTGTCCACATGGGACTTCATTTGTAACTGTAATTCGATTTGATCCTCGACAGATAAATAGGACCAAGAAAGTTCAAGGGTAATCCCCGATCGGTGCTGGTAATTTCCCGAAATGTCAGGCTCTAGCCACCATCTTGTTTCAATGTTTTCATCATTAAATTTCAGAAAGTATTCAACAACCCACGTTACCGAACAGCACCGTGTCTAAAATATCGTATACTGGGTGAATGCCCGTATGGTGATCACTGTTCGTATCTTCATACGCCAGCACCACAGATCGACATTGAACAGTGTCTTGAACAGCTATCACCACCCGTCTCACCAACGCCAAGCTTCGATACTGAGTATTTCTTTATGTTGTAATTGCGATTGAGTTATTCATTGGTATCAATTATGTTCATTTCTTATGCGTTGAACAGTTGAATTCCTCTAGAAGTTATAACGCAGTACAATAATTTATCAAACTAGTTAGGTTTCCTGAACTCTGATACAGTTTCAGCACTACGAGTGACGACTGGAGAACCACAAGAACGTCAACACCGAATTCGTGCAGCGATCCATTCCAAACGGATGATTCTTCTAAGGCACATATTGAGCTACCGAAATTCGGGCCTGACGGACTTCAGTCTATATTTGGATTTGTCAATGATGATTTGATCAGAAATTCTCTCGCCTTTAGAGGAATGTAAGTTCAGCGGTGTTAGATTTCATCGGTCATGAAATATGGGTATAGCGGTAACATAATGGGGCAAATACTGAATTTAGAACAAAATAAACTGGGCCACTAGGAAAGGTTGAATGAAAAAAATTGAGTCTCGTATTTAATGGACCATTCAAAAGTTGAGAATGAAATATCAAGCAGCTCCATTCTATTACCGTATTATCCATCAAATTTTTAACGATTCTTCCGTTATATGAATTTATTTTGTTGTTGCTTGAGAATATGTTTAGTGTAATACGTAATTTATTTTGTTTATATTAACAGAGTATTTATATTGTTAAAGTATTTATTCATAAATTGTAAACTATATAATGTTGTTGTGATCTGTTTTTGTGGCTAATATATTCGTTGTTATTTATGAATTATTATTGTTTGCTGACTAATGATTTTGTTTAGTAGACAATTTGTAACGTTACGAGCCGTGATATTAATCGTATGGTGTTGTGCGATTCGGATCAGTTTAATAGTAAATGTAATTTAATGTAACGTAAATTGCCTGAATCAACATTGAAAGGCCTTATTATGTGTGGATAGCAGTGAAAATTGATTGCTTGTATTTTGTATATTCATAGAATTTTATCTCAGCGATATTGTTGAAATGCATTAATTTGTTATTATTTCGTTCCGTATTTGTTTATAGTTATTGTTGTTGCTATATTTGTATATTACTCGAGATGTTAATCCATTAATCTCATCAAGAAACAGCGGGTCGTTGCTATATGGTGTCACAATATTTTGCTCATTACCTCATCATTTGATCCGCGTTCTCTTAACTTCATTGGTGCGACTCTACTTCGAGCCTGTCTCATCAGGAATATAATCATGAATCATGTGCAATTCATGTGTTCATCGCACATAATACTATTATTGTTGATATCTGATTTTAATCATTTTTATTTGACTAAAAACTCCATTGATATGTGTACTAAATTGAATATTTTGTTATTATTATGAATGTTGTTATTAAGATTATTTGCAATTATAACCACCAAACAACTTTCATTTATAATTGTTGTCATTTTATTCACATATTCTACCTTATGAATCTATTTCGTTTTGAAATTGCCCATGTTTGTTGGTATTGAATAAATTTTATTTCAAGAAAATTTTNAGTTTAGTTCAGTGGATACAGTCAATACTTTCACTTTTCTTATGAGGCGTTCAGTGCAGTAATTAGACATCCATGCGATAATTCCTTTTTGAAACTCTCGTTGGATGTATTTCTACAACGATACATCATCCACTAGGATCGTCAGCCCGAAGAATCCCCAAATGCATTATACCTCTACAGATTGCACATTTACGATATCATTTTATGCGGTCAGATGTTTCGTTGAACTTTTTTCATAATAAACAGATTCATGGCGAAATATAGAGCAAACATGAAATCTTCTCGTCAAAATACTTCCCAACGTATAAAATGAAATCCGCAGTAAACTAAACAAGATCCATCCAAGAATTTAATTTGAAACAGACTATCAGAATTCTCTGCAATAATCACTATATACAACAATATATCGCATAACACAACTAGATAACTGAAATTATTCCAAAGCAATATTACACATGATTGGTAAATGATCGCTTGGTGCTATCACCGACGGCAACGCCGTGTGCTTCGACAAGAGTTTATCGGATGGCATCGGAATGACGTAATTCACCTGCAAATTAATCCTTTCACGTGCATATCCACCACTGACTGTCAATTATTTCTATTTCGTTTCACATTTAGTTTTATGTTTTTTTTAATGAAACAGCTATCCTCAATACTTAAATTAATAATTTGTCACCCCTGCAATCCGGAAAATTTCGCTCGTTTCTATTCCTCTCTGAGGGTATTTTTTGCTCTCTTGGTAATTTGTTCTTTTGCTCGACGAAATACACCCCAAAATTTAACTCCATTTAGGATCCATTCTATAAATGGTCTACACGCCTGCGTCACATTATTATCAGTCTTAGCTTACAGTTATAAAAAAACTGCAAACATTTCGTTCGGTTCTTTAAATACAGCGATGGATATTCAACCGATATAAATACTTTATAAATTTGATATTGATTATTTTTTGAATTAAATTTATGAGATATGTGGTTGAGGGACATACCTTGACATTATCACTGCCCCAAATGTAATCTAAACATCCCTCAAAACCACGTTCTTCACCATTCGGTCCTTCGAATCGCGTATAATTCGTCACTTCTGGATTATCCACTAAACTCGTGAATTTGATATTATTCCTCTTCTCAAAGGCAGTTCCCATAGTTGCACCACCCATCATTTCGTTACATTTCCAACATTCATTATCCTTTGATATTTCACCTGAATTACAAATCATCATAATCTATCGCATATCAGTTCTGTCATCAAATGTTTTATCAAACGTTTTACAAATGAACATTTCGCCATTCGCCATTCTAAATTCCTTCTAATTTAACACATTCAGAACAAAACATTTTGCTCGAAACATTGCTGAATTTAAAAATGTATGAATACAATGCGATCCTGTCCTCCTTTCATGTACTTAATGAGTCAGTGCTGAATGCGGTAATGAAAGAATACTACATAAAACGAGAGCCAACCTTGCGTGAGCAATTCATAAACACCTCCTTCGGGTGTACTGTTGAAATCACCTCCAAAAAGATGATAAACTTTCGAGTTCGGATTCGATCTCTGCAGATGAGCACTGATCCTGGCAATGTAACGCGCACACAAAAGCGTTTGTAACACTTTGATGTGTTCGTGCCGTGGATCGAAGTACAAATGCGTATTCGCCGCTAATATCACACTTCTTCCATCCTCGCCCACAGAATCGCAGTCTTTCGAAACACCCAACGAAACCAGCTGAAAATGAAACAAATTCCTTAATAAATAAAAATGTTTCTGCAAGATTCTTTTCACTATTCAAATTCCCTCACTTTTGATTTTACATTTATACGACTGAATAGATTTTTTTGGGTATCTCGAACCAATTCCGTATATAATGTTTCAGATATGCTAAACGCATCAAATAAGTAATAAAACAATAAAAATAAACCTGAAGTACGGTCGGTCTTGTGACAAAAAGATTTTTAGCTGCTGGATCTCGTTCGAGTAAATTCACAATTTCTTCATTCTCGGGAAATTTCTCCAAATCCAGTAGATCCGTTAACCACATGTCGTACGTCTCAAGAAGCCTAAAAAATTTACCATAAACGATGTGATCATTTCAACTAATAATGAGGTTTTATATCCGAAATGAAAATTTCTTCTTGAAATATAAGCAAGAGTTCCTATAGAGAAGAGCTTTCCATTAGCTCGTGCAACTTCCAGAATGCACTCTTCTTGAAGCAAATTTGATCAACATTAAAGTAAGGCACCAATGACTGTTTCAGTGATTCGAACAAACGTTGAACAATCTCTTGAATATCTTTATTTGCTTCAAGAGAACAAAAAACTGACCTGAAATGTTTTCTACGAAAACAAATCATAAGACCTTCATTCACTTGAATAGCTTTCTTCTTGAAGTAACACTCATAGCCATATTCACGTAGCAGTGCGGGTAAATAACGCATTTGCAAACGATCGTCAACCTCTTGCAGAAATATCAAATCCGCTTTATATCCTCAAATCAAAGCAAAATACATCTCAAATCAAATAATGAACGAAGTCTTCTAACAGCTCTTTACATCATGAATCTATTTCCTTACATCCGTACATCACTCATGAAATAAGGTTTCTTGGGCAGCTGAATGATGGATCCTTATATCAAATAAATCCTTTCGTTGGAATTCTTTTACCTTCATAACTCAATGTTCCATTCATTCAAAATGAACTAATTCCACCGTCATAATCATAAATTCATACAACAGTTTAACACGTCACGAAATGTACACTAATGTCTTCAAATCAAAAAACTAGCTCTTAATACTTGCAAGCAACAGAAAAAAACGTTTGCGATCATCACACCTGGTATTTCACGCAATAACATTGGATAACGATATCCGTACAGCTGATATTCTTTTGGACAATACGGAAAAAATAAATCTTCCTGTTCCTGCTCCAAATTCAGATAGAATGCAGCAAGGATATTGTATGACATCACACGAAACCTGTAAACGGTTTATCACTGAAGACGAATTCGAAATACTTTTTGTTGACGAATTGAACAGTTAAGAAGAATAGAAGAAGGACTAGACAGTGACATACTCATAATTTCTCAATAAAAACATAAAACTGCATCAAATGTGTCGACCATTTTATGAGTTGAAAAGCCATTTAATTAAGTAAACTTTTGACATTATGGCATCGAAATTCACTTTAGTTTATGAAATGACTTTCGAATAAACGTATAGTACAACGGGGAACAATCAGATGCTACTATTCAGAATAAATTTCGTTCGTTTGGCGCTCATCAAATCTATCGTTGTGCTTGCTGGATGTTCCAAAAAATGCCCCTATCGATTTCAGGTTTATGATATCAACCGATCAAACTTCTTCATCCCATCACTCTTTCTCACCTATCGGACTAATGACATTTCGATAGTGCACTAATCTTGACAATAATAATAACCAAGTACCCGTCCTGTTGCCATTCAGTGCAGTAATCAGCCTGTCGCCTCTCAAAGATGTACGGTTCTTCGGGCCTATTGCTGATCAGTTCAGTGGATATGGCACACCGCGTGATCGTGTCTCGACCCAAGTCGATGAGAACGCAAACTCGTTTCCCGATATCTTTTTCGTCCGGTACGAAGAAACGGCCTCGATGACGCCATTGCCAACCAGGCAAATTGAAGGATCTACTGCCTGAAAGAATTTGATTGAAAAGTGAAAATGTTAAAATAACTGGTTCATAGCAATGACTTATATTATTTTGTTCAACGAGTATTACACATTCGCTTTTTCGTTCATCTCTTAATGATCACATTTTTAAAAATCCAACAGTTTGTAAGTAACCTTTATCAGACGATTCAATTTCTTCTGGTTTCACAGCTGATTGAGATTCTGCTCCAACGTACCAATGGAATACCGGTTCACATTCTTTTGAACCTTTAATAGTAAACAATGATGACAAGAACCGAGAAATATCTTTTTGACAAAAGGTCAAACATGATATTCCAGAATTTGCCAAAATGCTTTCTCTACTTTTTGCTCAAGTTTACGTAATGAAGACATAAGAGATAACAAACGGAGGTATTATAAATAAATTCAGGTCGATTAGGCCGAACTTAATTGTATCCCCTCATGAAAGTGATGTTTGGAAAAGTTGCAGATAGTTTAAACGGATGGAAATATGAGATAAGTTTCATTAATTCAGTGTTATCTTATATGTTCTTTGTATTGGCGCTCATATCAAGGCCACAACAACGACCAGGTCAAAACTGGGTTTTGGTCTTGGAGATATGAATTAAGAGGTGATTGATCCAACCGGAACGCATATCGAAGCTAGCCATTAAGGGACATCCCACGATCGGTCTCAGCGCCACTGATAGACTCGAACAATCCAAAGCGTTTCTGATCAATCGATATTCCTTATCACCAATTCGTAGTGAATTCACATTGGCGTTATTGAAAAATATATCTTCGTTCGTCGATGAAAGCTGCAAAATTAATTCTACCAAATCTGCATTTTCTGTCTCAATTTCCTTTATGAATCAACAAGATTATTCCCTAGAGGCTGACACTGTTAGAGTGACAGTCCACCGAAACCAGTTGTGAGATAATTCCTCATACAAATCTTCCCCACTTATAGAATTTCAAACTATTTTGCAGCTTGAACATTACTTTTAGCGAACTGGGTTTAACAGATATCATAAGTGATGATAAGAATTGCTTGAATTATTTGATGAAAGACACCGAAATAGATTTCAGTACATTCATGAAACACTTTCTTACCTAAAGCATATCACAACTATTATGGGGATTATCCTAACAATAAGGTAGTTGTGATATGTGATCTCACTGATTGTGAGTTAATGTTGCTCTGGACCGAGCAATCAATTGTCTGTCTCTTGCAAAATTTTCTTTAAAAAAATATTACGCGAGATGAACGAACCAATTCTGAGTTATCCACGCCAGTCACGTTAATCGCCACCAGATCAGCGTCATTCAACTTCAATCCCTTCCGTTTCTTCTTCGTACCACCCGTTAGCCGCAGCCTTAATCTTTGCTGTGTATTTATAAACTTGTCACTTAACGAACGACGCAATGCTACAAGTGGAGTGGATGTGGGGTCATCCTCTGATACGTTGTATTCGAATACAATCGATATGTCCGATGGAATGCGACCAATGCTGCAATCCGTATGTACTAATGATGCATTATAAATGAACATATGAATTTTTGGTATGNAAAACTTCTTAGTGATATTTACCTGTTCGTTGCACCATTTTCTTTGTTCTTATACGGCATATCACGCCATACAAAAACACTCAAATCTGGGATTTTCATACTTGTTTTTGTAATCAGTGAATCCTTACTACGAGACATCTCTGGACTGAAATTAAGCTCTTCTTTATCCGAATAACTTGAACTGATTTGTCTGTTCTGAGCCGAAGGATTGAGAAACAATCTTATCTCCTTTCCGCTTGAATTCCAATTGATCACAGCTTTTGGATGTTTTCATCAAGACTTTTATGTCGAATTCTGTTATGATCTCAGTTATTCAATTACTATTATTTGATTCAATTATTTGACAAGCAAATCCCCTCATGCAAACTGATCAAAAACGGCTAACCAACCCACTTCTTATAATCTACATTCCCGAAAAACTTAATAGATATCCCGTCATATTCACACTTGATATTGGTTTAATATTTGACAAAGGTGTTCAATAGGATCAATCCATTTTCTCCAGTGCCTTCTTTATTTCTTTGCGACAATGAACAAAATTTCATTTAAAGAACAGGTGAACGTACATGGAATCGGATGAACTGCGTGAATCATTCGCCGAAAATCGAACTGTGTGTTGAATATTCGAAAGATATTGCCGGAATCGAGAAAACAGATTTACAGATGAACGTTTTGATGTAGTTGGTGAAGACAGAGAAGATAGCCTTATGAATCGATTGAATACACCACTCATATCCTCTCAAAGACTACGTTGATATTATAAGTAAATTCATAAACGAACCTGCAATCGTTCAATGTCAAATATATAAACGTATTTTAAACGGATAATTCGATACAAACCAAATCATAGCCGGGCTCATGTCGGCACATCAACGGCATTGATACAGCAATCAGGTTCGAGTGAAACTTTCATCCGCGAATGACAAGGTTTTATTCGAAACTGAGTGGTGTACGAATGTGGCTGATGTAAGTATTTCATGAAGTTAGTGCGGACTTATTCATCGCTTGTGTAAACATAATAAAAACGGTCGTGTTGAGTGCATATGAATCCGTTTTAAATTTTATACGTTATGCTCTGTTAGGATGGATATGAAAATGTTTCTCTTATGTGTTCGCGTAAAGTTTCATGTAAATAAGCGTAGGATGAATATAAAAATTCAGAGCGTGTTTTGCATAAATGCTAATTTTAATATGGTAAACACAGTCAAGCCAGTAAATTCCTAACTTGATCCGAGTTATGAAACTGAAATTTCGGGTCTAACTGTCCGAAAACATTGTGTCGTACCTAACAGTTGTAATGATTTGTTCAATCAAATTTTGAGATAAAAACAATTTCGATGAGTTTTTGTTGGTATTAATGAATTGTTTTAATTCGCTTCATTTGAGTTCCTTACGCTTAGCCCGGTGATGAGGCTAATGCATAGGCTTCGACTTATGTGTGATGCGTATGAGCACACGAGCATCTGTGATGGCGCGGTGGCGTCCGTTATCAGCATAAGTACCTGTGATTGTAATTTTCAATTTTGATCCGTTAGCCGCGTTTCTCATTTAGGATTTCGTTGACTTATTGGTTCACGTAAACTTTCACCAATTTTCATTTCGTTTCTAAAATTTTTGTGTCAGTTATTCACTCTGAAGTAAACAACTTTTGTTCGACGATTGCAATATGATTCAAAAATTTGGATTTATTCAGCCTAAGTTGTGTGCGAAAATCTCAACCAGACTTTCATTGTTAGCTGAGACCTTAACAAGTGTCAAGATAAGTCAGGAACAGTGAAAAAGCTTTGTTAAACTGAGCTAGAATACTAAGCCGAATATTCTGAGAACTGAAATTACTGAGAACACTTCGGGTCCAAAGAATTTTACTATCTCATTTGAGATTATAACTTGAATTTCCATAATGCTTTTCGAAACTGGTCATTTTCTTCCTCGCTGAAACTGAAATCTTTCATATTTGAATTGTATTAGATGGAGACGTTTGAAGATTGAATCATTTTTACCTCAGATTTTAATATGTGCAAAGGTTCTGTAGCCTGATTATGGGATTGTTAATGAATTTGCTCATTGTTAGCGGATGGTTTTGTTTGTATGCGTGAATTTATGCTATGATTATTCTTACGCTGACGTGAATGCTTTTCGTTTTCTCAAAAAACGTTCAGAGAAATTTAGTTTCATTACAGAATTGAAATTTTATCAGTAAATTAAACTCTTGTTCGGTGCGCATAACATCAATTTTTCAAAATCGGCAATGTTCCGACATCCCAATTCAACACCTTCACGTCCATCCACACAGGTAGAAATGTGTTCGTTTACATCATCAATCAAATTTTACAGTTAGCATCAGAAATTCGCTTATCTCACCGTAAATTCTTTAATCAGATTTCGAGAATTAAGTCGAAGCACTCTTGCCTGATAACGATTCGATGTTATCGAAAAGACACTCATGATGAAGAAATTCAACTGCTGAATAAAAATTGATTTATTGATTTCATAGCCAGTTCGTCTGATCCCAACCATTAGCTGTAATTTCCAGGATTCTGGCAACCTGAAGCCTCCAAAGGCTCCCGATCGTCCCCTTGTGCCGTACATGCGCTTCAGTCGTAAAATGTGGGCGAAGGTTAATTTCTTTTTTAAGTATTCATAATATTTTGTAAGAAATTTACGAGTAATCAATCTTAGCATTCTTCCATGCTTTATAATTCAGTAATGGAATTTAGGTTCGATCCGAGCATCCAGATAGTCAGTTATGGGATATCGGTAAAGTGATCGGACAAATGTGGAGAGATGCACCTGAATCCGAAAAATCTGTTTATCAACAGGTATTTCATTTGTTCATAACTCTTCCGAAATCTTTCCATAACACTGCCTATAAATATTGTGGCTATAAAAATCAACTAAATTTAATAACTCACTGTTAGCCCTCTTCTAACAATGTTGAAGATTAAGTTCGGGCTTTTTATCAGACTTATCCTTTTACGTAGAAGTGAACGCAGGTTTGAATAAAAGCCTAAATCTGAACCTCAGCAAAAACTTTTAGTCCTTTGTTGAGACGTTTTTTCATAGATTCGTCAGTGTTATAACTGCATCTGAGTTGAAATATTCCTCGTATATATTCCAAGCAAAATAACAATCGCAAAAAGGTCCCTTCAGGAATACGAAATCGAAAAAACAGAATACGACAAAGCGTTGAAAGCGTATCACAATTCAACAGCATATCAACAATATTTATCAGCAAAAAATCGTGCCAAAATGGCTGATAAATCAAATACTGTTGGCGGTGTTATTGCAAGTCAGTTATCTTATTCATTCAGTTCCGAATCAATCTTATTCATTCAATTGCTGTAGTTTCGTCCCGTGAATCTTCATGTTCGTGTTCAGCATTCATATGAGATGAATTGTAATGGTGATTTCAACTAGGTGAAGTATTGCTAGCTGAGTTTAAATTGGTAAATTTAGTAATAGTGATAATATTACTAATAACTGTAGTGATTTCAAGTAATTGAATATGCACTGAAGGTAGTCGAGGACGTTTGGATACGGGCGGTGTTGTTCTTCAGCCGGTAGAAGATGAAGAAGTTTGCGATCTATCATCACGTCGAATTGCTGCCGTTCGGTTTGTTCTTTCATTTATATTACAAACTGATTAATTGATTTCGAATAAACTAAATTGTGCATTCAGTAATCAGTAGTGAAGAAATTATTCTGAATATTACATCAAGCAATCTCTTCAAAGTCAAATAGTATCAATTTTATGATATTGTTCAAGCGTTGAATTTGAAATTAACATGTTTATGAAAGGGGCATTGTTACGAGCCTTAGTGTGAACTCTGGATGAACCTCAGTCCTACAGCTGAGGCTTTAGTGTAAACTGAAGCGACCCTCAGTTTAAGTTTAAATCTCAGGCTAAGCCCTGCGGTAAGCCTCGCATCAGTCAAAAGCAGGAGTTGAGCTGAGGTTAAGATTTGTTGTAGTCTGGCCCCTTTCGTTAAACATGTTAACCAGAGGATTATCGATCCAAACGTCATAATCGTAAGTATCTGCTGATGCATATCACATCACTCTGTACTGATATCTTCGAAAGCATAAGTTTGATTTGGAGCTTTCGTGCCATTGCTTAACCGTCATTCGTTTGCTGTCATATTGATGCAGTCTTGTTAATTGCGTTAAATTTGAAGGTTCGATCGTAATCATCGTTTGATTGCCGAACTTTTCAATGGGAATGTGGTGACCGACACTCGAACGATTGTTGCTCAGAGTCGTATTGATATGTTGCAAAAACAGGCACATTCGCTAGCATTACATCAGGTTTGTGATGCGTGAATACATTCACTCTTTCAAATTGTATTACAGTTTGATGTTTCTAAAATGAAATTATCTTTAAGGATTGTGTCTTTAAAGCGAAATATAATTTTAGAGTAAATTAGAAGACGAACTGAAAAAATTGAACGATGTATTCCAAGAAAAGAAGCGACAAATGGAAACATCGTCTGAAGAATTTGCATCTCGTTTGAAGAAAGTTTGCGAGGATAAACCTCAGGTGAGTACTTTTTTCTGGTTTAGTTCGTTTCTTGCTTGAATCCTAATCAAATATTCATTATTGCCGAAAGAACCGGACGAATAGAGGTGAATACGGTTTGAATTTGTTTGGAAAAATGAATTTATTGAAGGTTGATGAAGCGAAATACGTGGCAATGGTAGAGGAGTGGTCGAATAAAATGTTACGAGCTTATGAGGATTTTAAAGCGAAACAAGACGCTATAAGGGCTAAGCAATGTTGGTAGTTTTGTCGTTACGTTTCAACAAATATTCAACTGTTTAATTTCCTTCCTGTCAGTTATATGAGTGGCAAACTATGTCGTTCGTTCTA